ATGCTGGCTGGGGAGTTCTGGGACTTGAAGTCCACACATCTTAACATTGCCAAGGTTGAGGAACCCTGGCCCAGAGGGAGATGGACAAGCTTTTCCTTTGGGAAGAGGATGTTGAAAAGATGGGGAACAGGAAGGAGAGCCAATGAAGGCAGCTCTGCTCCACCACCAGAGCTTTTAAGCCACTAGAGGATCTTTCCCTCCACTCAGCCTGCAGCTTGCAGGAGTCTCCAGGGGTGTGACGGATTCCTTCAAGTTTCACTGACTCACTCTGAACAGGCCGAAAGTGATTCCAGCTGTGTTATCTGCAACTACAGCAGGCGCGGGACCAGCCAGAGCAAGGTGGAGAAACATCTGGCAACACCTTATGTGTTTGCACTAGTTCCCACCTTCCCTTCCTGGCAAAAGACAGAACATCCCCAAGGCGAGTGAGGAAACTCAGAAGATGGAGGAGATGCCAGCGTGAGATAACAGCCCCTTCTGTCTGGCTGAGCGCGGTGGCTTTTCTCATCCGATGGAGCGGGTGACTCCAGAGGGTGCCATGTTCCCTGTGCTGCCTTCAGCCCTCCTTCTACGCTGCGTGCATGGAGCACATGAAGGAGACATTGTGGGCTGCAGGGCCGTGCGTGATCTGTAGTTCACCCCCTGTGAGCACAGCCAGGGACGGTGCCCCACTTTCCCCAGGCGGGGCATTGTGAGAGATGTTGAGACCACAAGACGGGCCATCAGCCTGCCCTTCCTTCATCTTTTCAATCGTGGGATAAAGGCATTAACTGTTTCTTTTTTTTTAAGAAGCCGTTTATCCCAGCAGTCCTTTGGGGAAGAATTGTCTCCCCCCGCCCCCGCCCGCCGGCCAGTATAATCCATGCTCCAAAGGAAGGTGAGCAAATGCTGTTTTCTGGCTGGAAGAACCAGTTCCTCCAGGTTCCCTTGCCACTTTGAAATCTTCCTCTTCGTCGAAGGGTGCCAAGTCTGGACTGCCGGGCTCCAACAGACCACAAGATGCCAGCACAGAGTCACAGAGGGCCTGCCCTCCGCCCCACCCCCACCCCCACCGCCTGGCCCTTTGCAGCCCGGGCCTGCCAGCCCTCCTCCATCTCTGTCGGCCTGCCCAGAGACGAGGGAGCGCAAGAATGTTCCGGAGCTTCTGGCCACGGACCAGGAGGCGAGCAACGCCCGGCTGCTGCCGCCCCACCCATCGCCAAGCCGAAGGGGCAGGCCTCTGCCTGCTGCTCTCTGGCCCCAGCGTTGCCCGAAGGCACGGCTGCTGAGGCACCCCGCCAAGGCCAGGCTCTGGCAATAACAAAGCCATCGGCCAGGGAGTTTGTTTGATTTTCTCCTTTGAACGGGACCTTCCTGTTTGGGCAACGTTTGCCCGTCACTGCAGAAAAGAAAGACAACTCTGCAGCTCTCTGGTGAAGTGGAAGTGGCATCTTGTCACTCACCCCCGCCAGGTTTTCCTCCCTCCTAAATTACAGAAAAAAGCTTCCTTTTCTGGAGCAAAATTCCGCTCAGGTTAAGAGTTCAAAATATGGCTGTTGATTTTATGAAAGTGCAAAGAATGGGTGCAAAAATCAACAAGCGAAAAGGTCGCTAGGAGGGATCAACAGCGAAGCCGCTTGCCCGGCCTTCCTTCTTGTGCCTCGCCCTCGCCCGGCGTTGCGTGTGTCTCCAGCCACGAGGAGGGCCCTCCGATCAGGACGGTAAACCCCGGGAGGGTCCCCGGGGGCAAGAGCGGGACGGCGAGGACCCCAGCCCCTTGCTGCTCTCCAGCGGCCGGCCGTCTGGGAGCTTCGGCCCTGATGGAGGAGGGGGAGGGGGAGGCTGGGCACGCGCAGGAGGCGCCCAACGCAGCCGTCCCGTTCATTTGAACAGGCTACACTCTGAGGCTATTTTAAAATCCAAGATGATAGAACTTTCTTACTGCTAGCCCACCCTTTGCTTCCCTACCCTCACAGTAGCCGGTAGGAACTTTGCCGCTGCTCGTGTCACTCTAGGACTTTGATCCCAGAGAAGATATTTCACATAAAGTGTTTTGAATGTCCAGGAAAAGATGTTAAAATAGGATTAATCAGGTTGTTATGCAAACTAAGATCAAAGAGCTGCAATAGAGGAGTACAGGTAGTCCTCGCTTAACGACCACTCACTCACCCACCATTCAAAGTTACAACGGGATTGAACGAGAGGGACTTACAACAGGTCCTCACAGTTGCGGCCGTCCCAGCATCCTCACAGTCATGTGATCGCAATTCGGACACTTGGCGACCGGCGTGCATTTACAACAGTCGCAG